ATCCTTCATTTTGTGATATGATGTAATGATTCTTCATTTTATGTATGTTAATGAGGCAAGATTAGTGTGGGTTATTTCTTGAGTCACAACCTTATGAAACAGCATGATTCAAGTTCCTCTCTTACTCAAGTCCCACCTTTACTCTGATGTAAGGACAGTTTCCTTGGGGGTGTGATCTGTATTTGTATGTATGAGGGGGCTTCAGAAAGTTCATGGAAAAATTCCATTTTTCCAAGAACTTTTTGAAGTCCCTCTAAATATGAATGTTCTTACATGGCTTACCCCTGCTCTGGATCCTGAATGTGGCTCATTATCATCGGACCTCTGGTTCTTGGGCCTATCATCGGGCCTGCCAATTTTGAGATTCTCCAATTTTTGCAGCTCTGTAATCTAGTAGCCTGCCATCTGACCTGCCTATTGTGGGTTTGTCAGCTCTTGCACCCATGTGAGTGAGTCAGGAAAAGCCTCCTCCCTAAAGCCTGACTCATGGATTTGGGACTAGTGGGCCTCCACAACTGCTTGAGACATTTCCTTAAGATAGATTTCTCTATAAATAAACATATGTATTTATATACAAGATATATGCTGATGTGGTGTTGTAGGATAAGTACATTCTGCTAACTACAAGGTCAGTGGTTCAAACTCATCAGCAGTTCCTTAGAAACCCCCGACAGAGTAGCTATGAGTTGGAACCCACTGGACAGTACTTAACAAGAACAATATATGCTTCAACGGTTTTGCTTCTCTTCAGTACCCAGCCTAAGACACTAGCCAGTCCACTTTTAAATGGTGTTGTTGTTAAGTGCCATCTCTATGTAGGTTTTCTAAGGCAAAACTGTTGTGTGTGAACCGCTGACCTTGTGGTTATCAGTCCAATGCTTATTCTATAGCACTACAGAGCAATGTTCATCAAACTGTTAATTATTGTTAAGTGCTGTCAAGTCGGTTGCCACTTATAGCAACCCTATATAGGGTTTCTGAAGAATGGCTGGTGGATTCAAACTCCTGGCTCTGTGGTTAGCAGCCCAGTAATTTTCCTACAGCATCACACGAGGACCCATCATTATTGAATCATCAGATCAATTTAGTGTGTCTACTCAGATGGATAGACAGAAGAATTGAAACATTTGAATTATGGTATTGGTGAAGAATATTGAATATACCATGGACTGTCAGAATGAACAAATCTATCTTGGAAAAGTACAGCCAGAATACTCCTTAGAAGCATGAGACCTTGTCTCACATACTTAGGCTATCAGGAGAGGCCAGTCCTAGAGAAACACATCATTCTTGGTAGACAGTCAGGAAAAAAGAGGAAAACCCTCAGTGAGATGGAGTAACACAGTGACTGAAACAATGGCTCAAACAGGGCAATGGTTGTGAGGATGGGGCAGCACTGGGCAGGCTTTCATTCTATTGTACATAGGGTCGCTATGAGTTTACCCTGAAATTCATGAAACTTAAACTTGGGGCCCCCACTTGCAAAGTTTCTAATTTTTTATTCGTTTTCTAAAGGGGTCTCTTAACTGAATAAACTGGATATGTTTCTGGATTACCCACAAAACCTGGATATGTTTCTAGATTACCAGAATTTTAACAAATGAAATAGAACAAAAAATATGAGAGTGTTCTATGAAGCTTCTGATTTCAATTTATATGAGTCATGATGTAAAAATATTTTTATCAGGATTTGTGGTTTAAAACTTGTTAATTCAGTATTGTAAAAAGCAAAGAAATGTGTACGCAATCAGTGCTGCCCTGTTTATAAGCATGAACGTTGGCAAATAACCGAAATGTCTATAAGTAAATACTTTGTAATTCTATATAGAATGTAATTCTATATAGCTAAAAATGAGTGAACTAAAGTTATATGAATCAAGCAAGAAAACTCTCATAAGCACAGCATAAAGTTTAAAAGCATGTTGCAGAATGTTCTAAAGCAAAATCTTAAAGTTTAAAATGACATGAAAAACAGTATTACAGCTTGAATTTCTATTATATTAATAATATGTAGAAAATATGAAAATGTGGATGAAGTTGATAAAGCAAAAATTTAGAATAGGATAGTGGTTACACTTCTTAGAGCAAAGAGGATAAGGAGGGGGAGAATACCAGGAGCTATATGCAAGACTTGATTTTTTTTTTTTCAATCATCAATAACATTTTTATTTCAGACACAGTTGCAAACTACACAGAACAATGAAAAAATTTTATAAGTCTCATTTTAGGATGGCTATTGTTACATAAGAAGGTACTCTATAAGCAATTTTTAATAAAATAATAAACTCAGAAATCTATAGTAACTTTTAAAGGCATATTTGTTTTCCAGTCAGATTGCAATCTAAGGTTACAAAGTAGTTTTTTGGGGGGTTTGTTTGTTTGTTGTTGTTGTTTTTACAGTTTTTCCCCTGTAGTAGAATGAAGGTGGATGATAAAGTATTTCTTTTGTTTTTTTTTAAATGGATTTGAGGCAAGCAGGGAAAAGTGTTAAAGTTAGAAAAGGCTGGTTGGTGGATGCATGGATTCTGCCATGTTAGTCTCAATTCTTGTTTGATTGTGTTGTATTTTGTATGCATGTTGTATGCTTATTTCACATTCATGAAAGCTGGGCATATACAGACATCACCCCACTTCATCCTCATGATGACCTTTTGAAGTAGTAAGACAAACATTATTATCCCAGTTCCACAGAACAGAAACCTAAGACAGCAGAATAATGTATTAACAGATGAACTGGAGACTCAGTGGTTCCTTCATTAGCCTACATCTGTACAGCAAGTCCTCTGGACAAGTTTTCCTTCAACTTGGTCCCAGCCCAAGTCCTTTACCCTAGGGAAACCTTAGATAGGCACTTTCCCTATGGGATTTGTGTTAATAATAGCCAGTGTTTGTTCAAAAAGCAGTTCTGAAGTGCCAGGGTGCCCTGCAAGAATGATTGTGACAATATGGTTACATATTTACAAGTTAATTCTTAGGCAGGACTAGCCTTTTCTCTCACCCTAGTCAGCGGTTCGAAACTACCAGCTGTTCCGCGGGAGAAAGATGAGGCTTTCTACTCCCGTAAAGATTTACACCCTCGGAAACCCTGTACAGGGTCGCTATGGGTCGGAACCGACTCGACGGCACTTAACAACAACAACAGACCAATGCCTACTGGCTCACTCAGTGTCCTTGGACAGATGACTTAACCTTTTAATACTTACATTTTGCTGTACAGCAAAAGTACAAATCACAATTACTGCACTGCTGAGTAGTGGGTAGGCATGAGGGGGAGTGGGATTCCCGGGAAACACTCTGAAAAGTAAGGACCCATTTAAGGTTAATTAAAATGCAACAATTTCCAATACAAACTATAGGCATACTTCAGAAATATTGCAGATTCTGCACCAGACCACATCACTAAAGAAAGTTACACAATTTTTTGGTTTTCCAGTACATAAAAAAGTACTCTATTAAGTATGCAATAGCATTTTGAAACAGAAATGTTATGAGAACTACCAAAATGTGGCACAGAAGCAATAAGTGAGAACTTGCAGTTGGCACCGAGGAACTTTATTGAGACAAGATTGCCACAAACCTTTCATATGTGGGGGGTGGGGGTGGGAATCGCAACAGACGAGGGGGATTCAAAATGTTGGTGAAAAGGTTTTTGAAGAACTTTTTGATGCTCCTAGTATTCGAACGTCAATAAAGCGAGGTGTCCCTGTACCCGACTCGATGGCACTTAACAACAGCAACAACAAAATAATATGAGTACTTTTTGTTGTTAAAAAAGTTAAAACATGCACACACAAATGTTAACACTGCCTAAATTTTTAAAATAAAAATTGAGCATGCCCTTGTCTTTTCGTCTGTAGTGACACACGAAGATTTTCAAAGTAAGCGGTTTGTTAACCGTGTGGTCTAGAAACTTGATTTCTTGTTAACCATCCTCCGCACTGATTATGCCTGATGAACACTCTTTGGACTTGATGGTTGTTATGTGCGGTGGAGTCAGTTCCGATTCATAGCGACCCTGTATAGGGTTTCCGAGGCTGTAAATCTTTGTTAAGTGCCGTAGAGTCGATTCCGACCCATAGCGACCCTGTATAGGGCTTCAGAGGAGCAGCTGGTGAACTTGAACAGCCACCATGCAGTTCAAACGGCTTAGCAGTCTGGCGCATTAACCCACAGCGCCACATAGCGCACAGCGCCACACCAGGACTCCTGTAAATCTTTACCAGAGTAGATAGCTTCATCGCTCTGCCGCGGAACAGCTGGCACTTTGGAACTGCTGACCTTGAGATTAGCAGCCCGATTCGTAACCACTACCCTATCAGACCTCTTTGAACACTCTTTAAGGTGTGGGTATTATATGAGGAAAGGGAACTCTGGTAGCGTAGCGGTTACGGATCGGGCTGCTAACCTCAAAGTCAGCAGTTCGAAACTACTAGCTGCTCCGCGGGAGAACGATGAGGCTTTCTGCTCCCGTAAAGACCTATTGACCCTGAATCCCAAGAAAATAGGCAAAGATAAAGTAGCAACTGGCGCATCTGCGCACGCTAGGTTAGGGTTCCTGTCTTTGTAGTTGAGAGAGGAGTGGCTGTCGTGTTTCGGTGTGGAGAAAGCCTGAGCCGTTTCGCTGCGGAGCTGCCAGCAAAGCCACAGGTCCCTTTAAGGCGCCAGGCTGGCCGAGGGGGCAGCGCAGGGGGCGGGAGGAGAGTAAGGAGCGCACGCCACGTGACTCGTCTGCCAAATTCTCTCCGGAGTTTGACAGAAGTTTGAATCCGACTCGGGGGCTTTCTGCAGCCGGCGGGGCAGAGCCACGGCCGCTGCCTCGGCGAACGCGAGAAGCAGCGACCACCCCGCCAGCCTGGAGCCCGGCCCGCCGACGGCTCACGCTCTTGCCCCGCTCGCCTCCCCCGCCGCTGACCTGCAGCCCCCAGCCCGATCGCGTTCCCCGCAGCCTCCCGGCGAGGAAACCGAGTCCCCGCGCTGCGCCCCGACCCCGCCGCTCCAGCATGTCCTCGACGGAGAGCTCGGGCCGCACCGCGGACAAGTCGCCGAGGCAGCAGGTACCTTAGCGCGCTCTTCTGCCCTCCTGCCTCCGGGGCGCTCTCACCGCCCGATCTCCACTTGGGTGTCTGGTCTGACCCTTGTTCCTCCCTCTATGCTGGTTAAGAGTGGCGGGGAAGACTCCCGGCGCTTACCCAGCGCCCCCTACTCCCTGACCCCCGCCCTGTCTCCGCAGGTGGACCGCCTGCTCTTGGGACTGCGCTGGCGGCGGCTGGAGGAGCCGCTGGGCTTCATCAAAGTTCTCCAGTGGGTGAGTCGATGCCCTAGCCTTGGGCTATTTCGGGAGCTTGAACTGTGACGCTGCCCTGAAGCAATGTGGCCATGGTGGTGGGGGTTGGGGGTGGGTTCTGTGGCCTGGCCTTGGCGGAAGGTGGGGGGCGGCGACAGGTGGGCGGGGGAGGGGCGGACTGGACTGCTTCTTTAGCACTTGGTGTCAGGAGAGTGAGGAGCTAGGCATGCGGAGTCCCGGATTCGGTCCTTCTATGTGCAAGTAGCCTTTGCCTAGAGCGCTCACATTTCATCTGGGCGAGAGAACTCTGGTGTAACCTTTCTAGAACTCTGATCCTGCACATACCACTCCTCGGAGACGGGAGGGGGGAGGAGGAGGAGGATGACGAGGGGGACGAGGTCCGTGCTTCACTGTGAGAGAGGACTCACAGGGCAAAAGAGGAAAGGAGGCAGCCAGTGGAAACCATCCTCTACCCAAATACACCAGGACCTGGTTGAACCTGGCAGTAAATTCAGGAGACAAGATGCCAGCACTCCGTGGTGCCCCTGTTGAGGTTATCTGTGACAGAGTGAAAGATTGGGCGAATGAATGAATGGAGCGCATGGTTCTAGGATTAAATAAAAGAAAGAAAAATCTTAGTGGAGCCAATATGTGCTAGTAGAATTAGAACACTGAGCTGGAAATCTGGGGCCCTGGATTCTAAACCTGGACCTGCCTTTCCCAGTCGTGTGACCCTGAACAAATCACTCCTCTGAGCCTCTGCTTCCTTATTAGCCAAATGGGAGATTATGTATAGAGTCCTCTTAGTTCTAAATAGGTTGTTATTAGTGTTGTTAAGTACCATCAAGTGGATTCTGACTCAGAGCCAACCTGTATAGGGTTTCTGGGGAGTGGATTGGGGTTTGAACCGCCAACCTTGTGTTTAGCAGTCCAGTGCTTAATACTACAACGCCACACCAGGATCCTAGAAAATTGCCCTACATAAGGATTTTCCTGTGACCTTGAAGAAATCACTACATTGAGGTCTTCAGTTTACCCTGTAATGTCTAGGAGAAATAGCATCTCCTTGCCTAACTAGTACTTTGAGACATTGGTGTGCTTTCTGTCCTTCCCAGTACTCAAGACTTTCTGGGTGTAGTTTAAGAATGTGGACAGATACAGTTACTTTTTCAAATCATTAAAATTTACTGAGAGAATTTGTGCACTATTGCAGAAGAGATTTAAGTGAGACACTCCATACATTAATGGTACATGAATAACTTCATTAATGTGTCCCCAGTACAGAATTCAACTTGGGAGTGGTGGTGGTTATGTGCTGTAGAGTCGGTTCCGACTCATACTGACCCTGTAACAGGGTTTCCTAGGCTGTAAATCTTTACGGGAACAGAAAACCTCATCTTTCTCCCACAGAACAGCTGGTAGTTTCGAACTGCTGACCTAGAGGTTCACAGACTGATTCATAACCACTCTGCTACCAGAGCTCCTTTCAGCTTGGGAGTAAGTTACCATTAATACCTACCAAGGAGGGTTGAGTCTAAAGGGCTTTGAACTCACTGGAGACAGCAGTTAGCACTGTCATTAATTCCTCAATCATGGTTTGAAAGAGAATCATTAAATCTGGAATTCAGGGCCAATAGTGCATTTGGGGTTATCGCTAGATATCTGAGTCCCTGATTGGGGCTATAGGTCAGCCTGGAGAGCTCCCAAGTGGGAACTCTGGGACCTGGCAGGGACTTTCCACTCTCCCTTCTGCCTCAAGATCAGTTGAACTGAGTGCTGACTGAGCTCTTTCACAGTCTTCCACTACCCTGTTTTGACCTACTACTCAAGTAACAGAGGAAGCCATTTAAGAATGATGTTAAAACACCAAGTGACTGGCATTCAGAATTAACAGAGCCATTATGAGTACTCCAGAGGAGCAGAACCTGAAATGTAAGAGTATGATTTTATCATTAAGTTAGACAAATGGATCTTAGAAAATTTTGTGAAAGAGTGAGGGAAACAATGGGATTATTGGACCATGGAATCATCTTCCCTGGTGATATTCTGAAAAGCTTCCCTCTTTACTCCTGCCACCCTTTTCTCCCCTTCCTTTTGTCCCCCTCCCACCAATACACACAAGATTTCTATAAAGACTGCACAAAGCAGTACCAAGGGAAATGATCCAGTCTTGTCCCAGGGTCAACACTGATATCCTAAAGAGCTAAGACCTCGTTGACATTTCTGATCCTCAACTTCTTAGAATAGGCTTATGTGAAACAGAGACTCCTTTCTCTCATAATGCTAAATCCTCGGGCCTGGGCCAGGCTCTGAACTCAGCCTTCATTAGAACTATAGCATCGTAAAGTCAAATGGTTTGCTTGTATTGCCATCTGGTAGCATGAGTTTCACTTGTCCCAAGTCTCTGCAGATGAGCTAACATTAAAATATACAAGACCAACAACAAAAATTACAGTGGGTATGTCACTTGAGTTTTTTACTCATTTCTTGCTTGGAGGAATCATTTACTCTTGACTGGAGAAGGAAAAAAAGAAAGAACAAATCTTGCAGTTATTGTATTGGTAATCAAAGACTTTTTTTAATTACTATTACCAAAAGGCAAAGATTTTACTGGAATTCTTGCAAGGATTCTTTAATTAATCAGAAGCTTAGTTTTAAGTGTTTTGTTTTTAAATTAAGAAATTCACTAATCTCATTTCAATTATTAGAGAACATGTTTCTGTTTTGCTTTTTTAAAGAAAACGGCTAACTTAGAGGTCAGACTAACCTCAAACCTTGCTTGGTTTGAGTCTAGTCTCCTCTGCTTTCTAGCCATGAAACATTGGGTAAGTGATGAAATCTTTCTGGACCTCAGTCTCCTTATCTGTAAATGGGACGTATCTCATGGACTCTGTGGGAGGATTACAGGAAGTACTGTAAAGCATCTGCCCTAGGGTGGACCATTCAGGAGGACCATGGATAGCCTGGCACTCCAGAAGGCATTTAGTAAGCATTGGGTCCCTTCCCTCCTATTCCTGAACCTCTGTACCTACCCCCTGACCCTTAGTAACACTTTCCCTCATTATGCATACTGATTGGTGAGATTAGCCAAATGTCATTGCCAATGCCTTGTTTTGATGGTATGAATAAAAGAATCTTAAAGTATAAAAAAGAATCTTGTGGGCTACTCTGTTCTTATTCCCATTTCTTATAAATAAGTCATATTGCCTTCAGCTGAGTCAATAATTTACCTTTGGCATAACAATTTGTTTGACTCTGGGGTCTTTGTGATGAAAAGTTATTTCAGTAAGTGTTGTTGTTGTTGTTAAGTGCCATCTAATCTGTTCCGACCTATAGCGACCCTGTGTAGGGTTTCCAAGGAGTGGCTGGTGAGCTTGAACCGCCAACCTTGCAGTTCAAACCGGCTTTGCTGTCCAGCACATTAACACACAGCGCCACACCAAGACTTCAGTAAGTGCAGGGAAAGTAAAATGAACACCATTAGAGTCCATAAAACATATGGGATGATTGCAAGAGAATGTTTTGGGGAAGCAAACATATTTCCTCGTGCCCTGTACTAGCTGGTGATGTTAGAGTTCTTGAGACTGACACAGAATTATCACCAACAAATTAAGTCAACAGCAAAGTGGAGCCTTCTCTTTAAACCAGAACGATTATTCTGACATCTTTCCCAAAGAAATGCAGAGGCAGGAGGGAAAGGAACTGGAGAGCTGTGTCTGACCCTCACCCCTGCCCTCAACAATGCTGCTCCAAAAGGGGGAAGACTGATGGGCACCAGAACTTCACAGCTTCTCCTCGTTTTGGGACCCCCACCTTTCCTTGGCTCATGTTCATTTTGACCAGTTTGCTCATCCTAAGTGTCTTGTGCTTGGTAACAGGGATAGTTTCAATTCTTGCTCTCTCTTCCTCAGCACAGTTAGGGGAGAGACCAAATCTGATACAGAAAGGTGGAGAGATTGAAGTCATGGAAGGGGTTCAGAAAGCATGTCCTTCTCTGTGCCTACATTCCAAGCACAGAGCTACTTTCTCCCTCCTCGTAATCCCTACTGCACATGATTGAGTTCTCTATTTTAGCCTTAATAATTATGATACAGGGTTTTGCTTTTAACATGACACTGTTCTTTCTGACTGTGAACTCTGAGAGCAGGAGCTGGGTCTTATTCAACTTTGTTTCCAGTCCCTGGCACAACATGGATGCTCAATATATGTTTGAGCACTTGCTGAATGAATGAATGAATGAATGAAGTGGAATTAACAGTAAGCAGGGAATCAGCAGATGTGAATCTTAAGACTGGCTCTCACATTAGTTAAATGTGACCTTCGGAAAGTCAACTTACTCTTTTGGGGCTTCCGGTTATACCTCTGTGAAATGATAATCTTAGACTTGATCTCTGAGGTCCTTTTTCCCTGCTATTCTGTGAATCTCTGGGGTTCTGCTTCTCCATCATATATAGCAATCTGATATCTGGTACGACCTGGCTGGTGATGTTCAGATTTAGTAATATATGCTGGATAATAAAGAGGAATCATATACCGTGTGTAAGAAGATTCCTGAGTTTCGAGGAATCAGAATACAAGAGAATATACTTAATACTAAAGGAGTTGTGGTAGCGTAATGGTTACGAATTGGGCTGCAAATCTCAGTTCGAAACTACCAGTGGTTCCACGGGAGAAAGATGAGGCTTTCTGCTCCCGTAAAGATTTACAGCCTTGGAAACCCTTTACAGGGTCGCTATGAGTTGGAACTGACTCCACAGCACATAACAACAACAACAACAAAGTCGTTATGGGTATACTTTGCCCTCTGAGGAATCAGAAAGCAGGGTTCAGAATGTTTAGAACCTCAAGGTTATCATCTAGATTCAGTAGAACTTTCTGAGATGATGGAAAAATTCTATCATCTGTGTTAACCAGTATGTTACCTGCTAGCCACATGTGGCTATTGGGTACTTGAAATTAGAATCTCACATTTTCATTTTATTTAATATTAGTCACATGTGGCTGTTGTTGTTATTAAGTGCTATCTAGTCAGTTCTGACTCATAGCAACCCAGTATAGGGTTCCCAAGAAGCAGCTGTTGAGTTTGAACCACCAACATTTTGGTTAGCAGTGTTAATGAAGAGAAGGCTCTTGACTGTTCACTGCTCCAAATTAGAAACACCTACTTTCTTAGGGAAACTTTTTGGAGCTATTCACTGACTAACTGCCAAGGTGTAAAAATACATCCAACTGTGCTGCCCTTCCTAGAATGTGAGTGACATCCTAGTTGTGTCCCGTTCTGGGCACCAGAAGCTAAGAGGGATAAAGGAACCTCTAAGATGGGTGGCCTCTAAGTGGTGTAGCACTGTAGGATAAGCACTGGACTGCAAGGTCAATTTGAACCACAAGGTGGAAGTTCAAACCCACCAGCCACGCTTTGGAAACTCTATATAGAGTTGCTATGAGTCAGAACCAACTCAATGTCACTTAACAACAGCCACAAGAGGGATCAGAGAGACATGGAGCTGACAGAAGATTAGAGAACTCCTATCAGGAAGAGCTAGAGGAGTTGTATTATTACACCACTGGTGAGGCAACTTTGAGTATGTAAAGGGTAACTGAGCACAGGGCTTTGAGTGACTTCTCTCCAGCTTTAAGAAGACGAGCAAAGAGGGCTCTAATACAGGTTTGAGATTTAAATTCAATAAGGATATTATTTGGGCATTGGAGAGAGGTTATACCATCTCCTTTCCTGGATGTCCTTTAAAATGGGGAGAATCCTCACTAGTCTGCATTGAATCTTCTGGAAACAGAGAGGTGCCCATTCTGACCTTTAGAGAGGGGTCAGTGGCTTCACCATGGAGAAGATCTTCCAGGCCAGGCCATGCAAGGCAGGACACTGGCACCGAGCACCACTCAGGGACAGAGCACAGCTGTTGGCGGGCCCAGCCAAGAGCACACTGACACTATTAACCTCAAAGAGAAAGCCTTCCAGAGTGGAAAAAGGCCTCAACTCCAAACCTCTAATTTTACAGATAAGGAAACTGAGACTCAGAGAGGGGACTTCTATCAGAGGTCACCCAACTAATTAGTGACAAAGCCAGGACTAGAACCCAGATTTCCTGATTCCTGATCCAGGTTTCTTGTTACTCCATAACATTAATAAGCAAGAGCAAAATAGTATGCACACAACTCTATTCTCTTTACTGGAGACAAGACTAGGATATGAATTAGCTGTCTTCCAGGTGCTTAATGTCCAAGATGCTGAGTCATAGAGAAAAATATAAAAAACAAACCATAAAGAATAAGCTCACTACTTAACAAGAGCAATTCCATTGTGTTCAAGCCAATGGTAAGCACACAGGAAACTGGGCCTGGGTTGACAATATGGGAGGACAATGGATTCCAACTTGTCACCTCTTTTTCTAACCACAGTGTGTTTCCCCAGAAAGAAATGTGAAAATCATAGGCTGAGAAAATTTCATTTCACTAAAGGCAGGAGGGTTAGTAAGATGTGTTAAAAGGTGGAGAGGGAAACAATTCAAGTGGTCTGAATGCCTTTGGCTGTTCACATTGAGAAGTGGCAGTATCAACTGATCACTGAGGGAAACACCAATGGGGAAATAGTGGCAAACTGATAAGTCAAGTGGAGGATACTTTTCTCTGGTCTTGAGCCAGGACTGTCAGCTTCCAGCCAGCCAGTCAGTGTTGTTACTAGAAGAAAATGTGCCATTGGGGTAGGAGAGGAATTATACTGGCAGTACCATGGGGCAGCAGTGTGGCCCTGTCCCCTGGTCCCTTTAAAGACTTGGCAGAAGTTATTCCCTCTAGTTGTGCTCTTACTATTGAAGCAGGAAGCCACTGGGAATGAGCAACAAGGTAATGACAAGACTCAATGGCTAGTCAAGGGAGAAGTGGAAATCATTCCACTCAGCTCTGATCTAGGTTGGTGCAGAGAAAGCTAGTTCTGAGGGTATTTCTCCCTTGAGGAGGAAATCCAAGTCTAGCTTTAAGCTAGAAGTTTCCAAAAACCTGGCTTGGCAGAGGTTTTGTGTTAGTCATCTTCAGAGCATCTGGTCCCCAATGTTACATTCAATGGAAAGACCTGGAAACTGTCCATTTTCTCTCCCTACATCTTCCTCCCAAAATACTCATTGCTAACCTTACTTATTTGGCTATTTGGTCCAAGACCTGTGCAATTGACATAGTACCCCAAGTCTGAGAGACTAATAGAGGCCATGGGTCCCTGCCCAGTAAGAACTTGATTGAAGAGAATCTTCCATCCCCACAGCATCCTCTCCTCCCTCCCCCACTACATCCATATCTGCACCCTTCTAGGAGTCAGAGGGGGTTCCTAGGAAATTCGTCTTGGCCAGTTGAGGCCTTCTGACTCTAAAAGGAACTTTACTCTCCCTCAGCTTTTTGCTATTTTCGCCTTCGGGTCCTGCGGCTCCTACAGCGGGGAGACAGGAGCAATGGTCCGCTGCAACAACGAAGCCAAGGACGTGAGCTTCATCATTGTTTCATTCGGCTATCCCTTCAGGTAAGCAGAACTAGTTCTGACCCAATACATCCTCTCATTGGATTGGAAGAACATACTAGATCCTCTGCCAAAAGCCTAAAGACAATTTGTTGTGTGCCACTCCACATTCAAATAGAATTACATACAAGACTTAGGCCCTTCCTGCATTCTTGAAATTTCAGACACAGTGACTGGGGGAAAACATAAGGGAAACATGGATAGATCATTGTTGCATGCTGTTCTAGTCCATAGACAATCAACAGCAGGGAACAAGAGTTAATACAGAAAGAACTCATGTAATTTGGGATGGAGGCTTAAAAAGAGTTTGGGCAAGCTGGGCAGATCTGTTTGACCTTGAACAGCCTTCTCTGCCTTGGAGGTAAGGAAGCTTGTTAGTGCTTAGATCCGGTGATAATATAGGATGCTTACCTGGTACCACCAGAATATAGGGAGGCACACTTCGATCAGCAGGTAGAGGGGAGCGCTCTTTCTTGGTTATTTGAAAACTAGGAGAGGAAGGAGATTGAGTATTCAGAGAATTGGTATAGGGTTCCTGTCTTCAGAAATTTCTAGTGTCAGCACCCAAGTCTCTTGGATATTATGGATTATTTTTCTTTCTTCATTTTGTTGAATATAGTCTCATCAAGTGGTCTAAATAAGACCTGATAATGGGTGATTCCAACTCTAACTTGGGCATTCTGCTTTCCCAAGGGGCTGAATGAAGACTGTCTACTTCCTTTGACTCTCAGAAATAGATGAACTATATTATGGTTGTGACTGAAAGTGCTCTGGAAATACATGGTCATCATGTCTAGGCAGGGTGGGTGAGTGTTGGGTGACAGCTGAGGAGGAGATAGGGTTTGACTAGAATCCCCAGGAAGTTTGTGGGAGTCTTTTCTTGACTGCAATGCCCCCTCAAGAAGCATTGCTCCCTAAGTATTCCCACCACCACCGTTGGCTCTGTAAGAGTGTCAGGGTTCAGAGCTAGTACAGGACTACTCCAGGAGCAGAGAGCCCTCTGCCTCCATAAGGAGAGGTTCCGCCTGAGCTCAGCATAGCCTCCCCTCCTCCCTGCAGGTTGAACCGGGTCCAGTATGAGATGCCCCTCTGTGATGATGACTCCACCTCCAAGACCATGCACCTTATGGGAGACTTTTCTGCCCCTGCTGAGTTCTTTGTAACCCTTGGCATCTTTTCCTTCTTCTACACCATGGCTGCACTCATCCTCTACCTGCGCTTCCACAACCTCTACACAGAGAACAAGCGCTTCCCACTGGTGGTGAGTAGGCGAGTATACAGGCCAGAGGGATGAGCCAGAGAAACTGAGGAGACATTCACTCTGGAACTAAGGTCAGAGCTGGGAAGGACAAATATGACAGCCTTCATGGGTCCTGATACCCACATTTGGAACCTTCTGAATCTCCCTGCCAGCTCTTTGCTGTTGGTCTTTTCAAGAGCTGTGGCTTCCTCAGTTTCTCGTGCCAGAGGATGGCCCAACTCTTAGGACTTTGCTCCTCCTGTTCTCCTCCCTCCTTCTGCTCTCAGGAGGCACAATAACAGCAGAGAGAAGCAGGCTTTGGAGTCAGATAGTGTGGCTTCAAATCCCAGCTCTGTCCTTTACTAGCTACATGATTGTGCACAAGCTACTTATCTTCTCAAAGCTTCAGTTTCATCAACTATAAAAAAATACCTGTCTTTTAGTTGTTGGGGGGATAAAAATGAGTTAATGCCATTAAGTATCTGGTATATAGGCAGCCTTAATAAGTGGTGGTATTATTAAGTGACATCAAGTTGGTTCCAACTATCAGTAACCCTGAATAAGTTTTCTGAGGTTTAAATCTTTGTGGGAGCAGAAAGTCTCATCTTTTTCCCTAGGAGTGACTGGTGGGCTCGAACCGCTGACCTTGTGGTTCCCAATACAGTGCTTATCATATGGATCTGTTAATAATATTTTCTTACTATCATAGGCATACAAAGGATGCCTCAGGGGACTCCACTTGTCACCAGTTACAGCTGAGTGATGGTGAACAAGGAAAGTTTGGGAGGGGAAAGTGGAAATTCAGGCCACCTGGGTTTGGGAATGAAGATGAACAGCAGATTTCCTGTTACATTTTGCTGTACCTTAGTCCTCAGGACTTGGGAAGAGTCAGTCCTGAAAGGCAGGATTCCTTTATTGGCAGTGAACAACTTCCTCAGGACAATCTTTGCTCCCGAGGCCCTAGATTTGGGGCAGAATGGGAAGAGGCAGCTGTCCTGGGACTCCAGGATCTTAGTGCATCACCACAGTTGCAAAAGAAGTTGGGGTCATTGGGACCTTTCTGAGTGCAGTTCCTGTCCTTCTGCTTCTACTAGGACTTCTGTGTGACTGTCTCCTTCACCTTCTTCTGGCTGGTAGCTGCAGCTGCCTGGGGCAAGGGCCTGACCGACGTCAAGGGGGCCACCCGGCCATCCAGCCTGACTGCAGCTATGTCTGTGTGCCACGGAGAGGAGGCTGTGTGCAGTGCCGGAGCCACACCCTCCATGGGCCTGGCCAACATCTCTGTGGTGAGATCTCTGGCCACTGCAGGGGGTTGTGGAAGGCAATGATATTCTAGTTACCCAGGCCTGTCCCAGCTGGTAGGTTCTGGGAAGGGCAGATGGGATGCCCCCAGAGCTGGTGTCCCCTCCACCTGATGCTGGCTGCTGGTCCTTGGCAGACCCTGAGCACACATATGTGATGGGGCAAACCTAAGAGTCTATAAGCCTCCTATTCTTTCCTCCTTCTGCATTCTGTCTTCCCATTTCCCTTCTCTTCACTCCTGCCTGCTTCACTGTGTGTGTGTGTGTGTGTGTGTGTGTACACAGTGAACATGTAAAGGAAGAGAACTGTCAGGTGCAGGGCTGTGGTTGGGTTCAAATCCTGGAGTAGAACTGGAGTGATTGATTGAGAAGGGGTTTAGTACAGCTCAGATCTCCTGGCTGGAGAGGAGCTTTCGGAAGTGCTGGATCCAGCTGGGATGTGCACATTTGGCTATACCAATTGTTAAAATGTTTAAATATTTCCATATCAGTTGATAAAGTAACTGAGGCCTTGAACTTCTCAAATATTCTCCATTATTCCAGCCACCTCAGTCTGCCCTGGTGAGCTTGGACTGGAAGGGTTAATGGATGCAACTGGATGGTTTAATAGCTGCATTTTCAGGAGTCTTCGGGACCTTACTGGAACCCAGCGTTTTATTTCCCCCAGCCCTCACAATTTTATTGTGAAAATTTTCACACATAGAGCAAAGCTGAAGGAATTTTACAGAGAACACCCACATACTCACCAACTAGACTGTACCATTAACATTTTACTAGGCTTGCTTTATCACACATCTGTCCACCTTTCTCCATCCATCATCCATCTTATTTTTAATGCATTTCAAAGTTAATTGCAGACATCAGTACACTTCCTCTTAAGCATTTCTTGCTGATAGATTTTTCAACGTTTTGAATAAATATTTGAATATAGTCCTGGCTGGATCCCTGGCCCTTGGGAAGGAGCACCTTGGACAGCTCCAGTCATACCTACCCCACAGAAAGTGCTTCTGACAGGGCCCCATGTGGCTGTGGGAAGTTCCACCAGAGTTTCAATTCTTGGCTCCTTGTTAGGCTTTGCACAATGCTTTACTCTATGAGTCAGAGTCTCCTAGTGACAGAGCTACCTGAGAATCCCTTAGTGGGTGATGGCCTGGAATCCCTCCACACCCTTGAGTATGTGCACACACACACACACACAAAGACTGTCCCCTTCCTGTTCTCAAATGTTCCCCTTAGTATTCTCACGAACTTCCCTAATGTCTTTGCAGCTCTTCGGCTTTATCAGCTTCTTCCTGTGGGCCGGGAACTGTTGGTTTGTGTTCAAGGAGACGCCATGGCATGGGCAGAGCCAGGACCAGGGCCAGGGCCCCAGCCAGGAGAGTGCAGCTGAGCAGGGAACAGTGGAGAAGCAGTAAGCAGCCTACGCCTAGCTACTCCCGAACTGGACAGCACCTCTTCAACCACCTTCGGCTTCCAGGACCTTCCTCTGCCTTCTCCCTGAACTCCCCTTCCCCATCATTCTAGGCTTTTGAGTTTTGAGATGATGGATGGACAAGCAACAGCTGTTGGAAACCCAGGCAGCCCTTCTGGTGGTTTTCTGTCCTTTGTTTTTCTGGAGTCCTGGATGGCAGGAGCTCAGTGCTTCTTGCCTATTGCCTGGACCCAAACAAATTTACTTGGGTTCTTACTCATATCCTCACAGCCTCTGAGAACAAGCTTCTGCTGCAGGTGAGGGTTGGGGGCAGGAGACCAGAGACCTGAGATTGATTCCTGGCAGCTCCCTTTCTCTCAACCTGTCCAGCTTCAATAAAAGGGAGGAGAAATTGGCTGGCAGCCTTCTCCCTAGTCCCATGCATGGAGGGTTCAACAATTGTTTGGTGACCTCCTTAACAGTTGTCATCCAGGTCTGTGTTTGAATTGATCTCTGGTCAACCCAGAGTTTAGTGTGCTTCCCACTCTCCACTCTTAGCTCTGTTTGCCCACAGAAACCACCATGGGTGAACCAGAGATGATGACATGCCTAGAAAACAACCCTTTAGAGGGTCCTGTTGAGCCCCTGAGTCAGTGGGGAGTAGATAAATTGCAACCAAGCCACAATGTCAATCATCCTCACATGAAACCTTATCCTGGAAACTTGCTGGAAGAATCCTTTTGTTTTTCTATTTCTTCAGTATTCCTACCACCCTGACTAGGGGTACTTTCCCACCAACACTCTAAACTCATGCTTGCTCTACAAAACTCCTGACCTTCCTCCCTCATGACCTTGGTTACACACTTGGAACACAAGATGAGAGGTCTAGGAGCTTCTCCATGTCAGCCTACCCCAACAACTCCAATGTCTTTATCCAGCCTCTTGGTCTGAGGCACTCAAGAGCTTTTTCAGTCTGTCCAGGCCTTCCTTTCATTCCCAAGGGGCCAGTTTGAGGCTTTGGAAGGACCCAAAGGACCATCATGAGGCTAAATTGCCCCCAGAGCCCTAGGATATGGATGGATGGTCCCATTTTCTTTTTCTGCTCCTGCTCCAGTTGTTCATTCATACGTCCCCTTCTCACCTTGACAAAAATACATGTTCTTTCCCTTTGCCCTCTCCTTCCTCCCCTGCTTCCTCATTTTCCCTAGATCCCTATTCTCTTCCCAGCCCAGGGAAGGCCGATGCTATTGGTGCTTCTTCACTTTGGGACCCAGTTCCATATTTGTCTTTGGTGTGTGTCCTCTTCCTGATACCTCCTCTAGTCCCTCTCTGGACCCCAAGGCCTGAGAGTACATGCTGAGTAAAGGCTATCCATCTTCTACCCAGCTGGAAACTCAATCTGCCCTGGCCACAAGGTTTTCATGGAAGGATGAAGAGGGAGGAACCCAATCATTTCCCAATCCAATGCCAGTTGGGCCACTAAGCATCCAAAAGGTGAATGGCCCTGTGCCAATCTTTCCTCAGGACTGAGTCAGCACTCTCCAACCACCTCATTTCCCTCAATGCCATCTGTACTAATGAGTACATTATTGGGACACCTGGGAGTGAGGATCTTAGACTTTGGGTCAGTCATTTCCTTTTGGGGTCAGTTTCCCCCACTTGTCAGGGAGAATGTGAGATTAACATCATCAAATGCTCCAGAATCCTTCAGTGAAAGAATTAGATTTTTAAATTTTTATTTTAGATTTTAGGGAAGAAATTTGAGAAGGGAAGAAAGAAGATGGGGGTGATAGTATTTCTAAGTCTGAAGCTCTCTGTCCTGAACTGTCTCCACAGTTTCTCAAGGACAAGGGGGGACAGTTTTGCCTCCATAGACACAGAGAACAAAGGGTGACCTTTATTTTTCTTTAAGCCATCCCCTATGGGGGACTGTGAGCAGCTTCTACTGAAACTTTGTTTGGATTCTGTGTACAGATTTATAATTTATTTGAAATATGATGAAGTGTTCTCATTTGGGGGCTGAAGTTAGCAAGTAGCCCTGCAGTTAGGGAAAGGAGGGTATTCACTCTTGTCAAGGATTCTTTGTTTCAGAACTCTCCCGAGAGTGGAGAAGGCTTCTTCTCCTTCTCTTCAGAGCCTTGATTTTGGCACCCCTGCTTCCCCCCACCCCCATGGCCACCCTAAAAGGAAAGGCTACTTCACCTCATTACCTCTGTAAGTCCAGGCTGGGCTAAGTGCTGAGAGCTGTCCTCATAGGACTTATGTCCCCTCCAACCAGGGTTGGCATCACCACTTTTGCCTAGTAGGGCCTGAGGTAGGAGAAGGTGTCTGGTTTCTCCAGCTGCTTCAGGAAGCCCAGAGGCAGGGCACTTTCTCTTTGCCTTAGTAAATTCTGACCCTGCCAGGGTATCCATGTAGGATATTTCCTAGACATGAGTTCCCTTTGCCATCATAGTCATAGATCTTCTACTTGCAGGATTGTAGATCAGGGGTGGGGGGAGAATGTTGCATGTTGTTTTCTGATGCTTGTTATTACACATTTGAATAAACAGTGCTGTGAGCATTTGCCATGAAAGAGTCAAGACTGGAGCCCTTCTGGGATTTCTTCTTCTTTTTTTTTTTTTTTTTTTAACCCTTCCTTGTTTTCAGTTCTTGGACCCAATATCAGCAGTTCCACCAAAACATCATTCCACTCATCTCCACCCTGCATCTGAAGTAATAGGGTCTGCTGACTGAGCAGTTGTTCCTGGCAGGCTCCAGTCCGGTGATATTTCTTCTTTTGGTGACACCTAATTAATCTAAAGTAATACACAGGGTCTCTATGGGTCGGAACCAATTCGAAGGTACTTCACAACAACAACAACAAATGGACTTGTTAGCAAATTTGGGGCAAACTCAAAAGGCAAGGGATAGCAGCTTCCATAATATTGTTTCCATTTGCTCTTCTACCATCTGTGACCCAGACAAGCCTCCTGTCAGGAGTTTGGTGTCCATATGCTTTACCCTCTTAACTACAAGGTTCTTGCTGAACAAACGTGCACATCTATCTCCCTTTCAACAAATAGTCACATGTTACATTTACATTCCCTAGAAAAATGCACTTGGATACAATTGTACATTCAATTTTGGAGGATTATTGGATCCTTTAAGCTTATCTATGGAACAAGACTCCCTGCCCTGAGATTCTTGAAGTAGTTAAATCTTCCCTGGATACAAAGGAGAAGAGAAAGTACGAGATCTCAGAGTCACGGACCCTGACTTATTTGCTCACAAATTTGGTTTTCCCTTAGCTGACGGGATGAGTATTGGGTGAGGTATAAGAGACTGAGGAGAGCGAAAAGATTAGTATCTATCTCTTCAGATGTGATAGTGGTGGTGGAGGGGAGCAGACTTTGTCTCTTGATTGTGTGAGGGCAGGAAGAAATGTTATCAGCTGAGAAAAAGAGGTGAATGATTAAGGTACTTTCCAAGCCTTAGCAAGGAAAATGACACATGTGATGAGAAATCTCCCTATGGCGAGCCTCTGTAGCCACCCTTCCAGCAGAGAAAATATTCATTAGAAAAAGAAGCCAAAGTGATGGATGGAGTCAAGGTCCAGCCAGGGCTTGGGAAGAGGCGGTACAGGGTATCGATCGCAGTTCTCAAAAGGAGAGAGACGGATCAGCAGACACCAGCAACCTCGGGGCTACTCCAGTTCCGGGGCTGGCTCTGGCTAAGAAATAGCCTTCTGTCATCCTGACAGGTGATCTTGGTCAGCTCAAGCCAGGTCCTCCCAAACCCAGACCGCCACTCCAGCCCTCTGGTTCCGCATCAGGGCGGAGAGGGCTTCCCACAGAGGAGGCACAATATGGGAGCCGAGGACCCTCCCCCACACCAACCTCTGTGTCCTTCAGCACATCCTACAGACTCCCTCCCCTTGCCCTTCTGATTCACAGCGCCCACCTCCCTGCACCTACCCTACTCGATCTACAGAGGAGTAGAGTCGCTTAGTGGCCGCCTGCCGGGGAAGGGGCGCCAGCCAGCAGGCGGACGCACAGCGTAAAGGGGCATCTTGGGCAGAGAGAGGTTTGGGGCTGGCATGTGTGCGTTGTGAGTTTGGGAGAGTGGACTGGTAACACGAAGAATGTGTGCACAAGGGTTAGGAGAGGGGATCCCGGGGTTCTGGTCTTTACTTTTTCTCCCCCAATTGTGCATTTCGGAGGGGTTTTGACAGTAAGATCGGTAGGCTACACAACCCCCTTCAAGACTACATTTCCCAGAAGGATATGCAGGCGGGAGGGGAAGGGGCCGGCGACTTGTGTTGGGCTTGCGCAGAAAGTGAGCTGAAAGGGTGGGGGGGGAGAGAGGAGGAGTGCCCGCGGCGGAGCGGGAGGGAGGGTGCCGCGCGGTGGCAGCGCCGGGGCGGGCGCGCGTCCGCGGCGGTGATGGCGGTGCGTGAACGCGCGGCGGCAGCAATGGCCGCTCTGGAGCGGCGGGTGCCGAGTCTCGATGACTTTGCGGGACAGAGCTGGAGCTCGTGGGTGGAACGGGTCGACTTGCCTGCAGCTGACGGTGAGTGAAGCCCCGTTGGAGTCTGGGGACCCCATCACTGTCTCCCCTCCCCCTCTCCGGGCCCCTGCCAGCTGAGGGGAGCCGCCGAAGGGAGCCGCCGTCCGGCTCCCCGGCCCCCCAAACAAAGGACCCGCCGGGTCCTAGTGCCCGCCTGCTCCGCTTTCCTCGTTCCTCCGGGTCCTAGCGCCGGCTCACCGCACTCAGCCCACCCTGCCCACCTCTGTTTCTGCCCGTGCCCAATACCTGCCCCCACATCTGCTTGCCTTTATCTTTCTCCATGCCTACTGGCCTCTGGTTTCCGTCCTTCCTGGATCTGCCAGCGGCGTTGTTCATCTGCAACAGTCCTCTCCACGTGTTTCCCACGCACCCCACTTCTGTGTCCCCCTCTAACCTATCCCCCCTCCTTGGTCCTTTGCATTTTGCCCCACACCATTTCGGCGTTTGCCTGTCGGCTGCAGTGCTCCTGGACTCCCGCCCCCTCCGCACTAGTTTGTCCATCCATCTATCTGTCTTCCCTCACTGTCTCCTTCCCTCCGTCTGTTCATACATCTATCCCTCTAACCCTTCGTCCTTTCCTGGGCCTCTTGGCTCCTTCTCCTGACCCACACCTTCTTTAGGTCTTGGAGTGCCTTTAGTGAAGAAGCCAACAGCCTCCCTCTTTCCCTGATCTTTGTCTCCTGGGCCCCAGGGGGCACCTGGCTTCGTGGCCTTTAGGGGTGACAGTGGGCATCATGCTCCTGAAGAAGTTTACAAGTGAAGAGAGATGGAGGAGGAGTCCACATGGAGCGGTCTCTGATGACACTTGTTCTTCTCTCACACATCTGACTTCCATCCGTGTTCTGTCCATCACTCACTGTGTTTGTATTTAACCCACTTAAGTGTGGGAGCTGCCCCTCATTTCTTTCATGCATAACCCATGCCCATATCTGGACAATATATTGGATTGTCAGCAACCTCTTCATTCAGTAAAGGGGCAGATCTGCTGGTGGACACCACAGAGCAGATCTAAGTGAGAACCCAGGCCAACCCAGTATTGCCCCACTGTGGGTGGGCAAGGCTGGGGCCATTGTCAGTGTCTGGGTGCATTGAGAACCGGAAATGGAGGGGTTTGGTGACTCAGAATTGATTTTTTTTTTTTCCAAGGGACAGGGAGGGGGCGTAAAGGAGGGGAGAGGAGTAAGGTTGGGGGATGGGGAAAGAGCTGCTTTGCACAGCTAAGGTGTTTTTGATGTCAACTGAGAAACTGAGGTACAAGGGCAACTCTCTTCCAATGCCTCCCTAAAAAGAGGGGCTTGCATAGCTGACCAAGGGGACTTTGATGATGCTGAAGGTCCCCAAGATAGCTGTGTGTCTGCTCTGTGGCATGCTGTCTGTCAGTGCAGGACCTGAGAAGCTGGGTATAACTTTGACTATGCTTTGTAACCCAGGGGAACAAAATTGAGTTCATGGGGGTGGCGAGCTGGAAGAGTATCTATGTAGGATGACACAGAGTAGGATGCCATCTGAGAAATCTCAAGGGACTCAGGGATCTATAGTGGAATTTATTGAGGTCCATTTTTCTTTTATTATAGGACCAGAAAAGAGTTGATACTTAACCTACAGGCATCAAACTCAGCAGCAGTGGAGCCCTAAACTACACTGTGGTGTGAAAGGCCTATTAAAAAAGTGGCTGGATCTCTCTTAAGGGGCCCAGCTTACTCCAGAGGTGGCAGGTGAAGGAAGCCGGGCACTTGAGAATGACCCACTGAAAGATTCTCCAAGGGTCCTGAGCAATAGGAGCTTGTCAGGGAATGTGGGATTCATACCACCCACTTTTAGGTCCTGGTTGGCTAGGAGATGGGGTATCTGGGAATGGAGTGGTCCTTCTCAACTGTTTTTCCTCTAGGGGCTGAGCTGGAGGAGAATAGCAAAAACATGAAGAAGATGGATGCCATGACCCTCATTAAAGAAGGTGGGCATCAACACATTAGGGCCGGGACCTAGGGCACACAAACCCCCCACTCCTTCCCCGACACTCAAGGAGGTGGCTACCTAAAGCAGCAGGTCTGGGGATCTGCACTTTGGTAGGTCTGGGCCAGCCTAGGCCACTGACTCCCTGTGACTTGTTGTTGGAGATCCTAATCATAGGTGATTAGTGCCCACTCACCTGAAAGCACACATTCTTAGGGACTGGTGAGATTGAACTCTGGGAACTGGAGTCTCTGGCATACAGTGTCACATCAGGTGGGAGGTGAAATGCCTTTTGAGTGGTGGGGGTGGGAGTGCTCTTGGATCTTACAGGGAGACCCTGGGGCCCCCAGCCCCAGTGATGAGGGCTTCTGTCATTGCAGACATGTCCATCTTCGGGCACTGCCCTGCCCATGACGACTTCTATTTGGTTGTGTGTAACCACTGCAGCCAAGTGGTGAAGCCTCAAGCTTTCCAGAAGCACTGCGGTGAGGGGAGCCCTAGGGAGGAGATAGAGGGAACAGGGGAAGGTGGAACATGGAACTTTGAGCACAGGGTCAGTTGGGAGGATCGTATCGTATGGGGTAATAGAGGGAAGCTATGGAGGACAGGCAGGTCCTGTGGGGAGGCTTCAGAGGATTGTTGGGGTTTGGGATTGTCTAAGCAAACTTCTAGTATCTAGTAGAGTTAAGGAGAAAGCTAAGAGGTTCAGGAAGCTGGGCCGGAAATTTGTTTGGAGTCTTTAAGGCTCAAATTTGAATGTGAAGGAGGCAGATTTTAAAGCTGAGCTATAGAAACTCCAGAATTCTTTAACTTGAATGTGTGTGTGGGCAGTCTTAGGAGGTTGGGGAAGGAGGCACTGATACCACTCACCTCGATTACTCTCTCCACCTCCTGGTGACAGAAAGAAGACATGGGCCCCTCAGCAAGCTTTACGCCCGGGCCCCACCCCCACCTCCAGCCCCTGCCAGCTCCCAGAAATGCCACGTAGTGAATGGGCAGGGCCCAGCTTGTAGGGCCCCAGGTTCCACCAAAACCTCCTCCAGGGAGAAGGGCCAGGGGTCCCGGAGCCGTGGCCACCAGCCTCCGGAGAAGACCCAGAAGGACAACCTCTGGTAAGGGAAGACTGGAGACTCTGAGACCAGCCCTAGTTCAGGGGTGGTTGACACAAACAGAGGCAGCCAGTCTTATCCGCAGTCCATATTTTCCAGGGAATATGGGGTCCCCTTGTCCCATATTCTGCACCCCTGCTAGAGTCCACCTACGTTGCAGGATCAGGAAGGAAGCAGCTTCCAGATCCTAGGCCCAGCTGCCCTATCCCCTCAGCCCACACCCTTTTTCCCTATGTAGCCTTTTCATGCCTGTGGTGAATCTAGAGAAGATGTCCGGTCTTCCCAAGCCTGATGGACATGGAATCAGAGTGGCCCCGCCTTCTGCTTACCTCAGCCAGCCAGGCGGCCCTACCAAGGACTCCCCTGGAAAAATCCCCATGGCACCATCTCTTAAAGAACCTCCTGGCAGGGAGAGCATCGAGGCAACCTCCAGCGAGGGCCCCAGTCACCGAGGTGAAGGCAGCCCTCCTGAGAAGGAGCCTGGTGGGGCCAGACTGCCTTCCAAAACCCACCGGAAGATGGCTCGTGAGTAGTCATGGTCTTGGGGGTCAAGAAGATAGAGTAGATCGTACTGGGCTACTTTGTCCTTGGGTCACAAGGGGAGTAGATCAGAAAACCCCTATAAATTCAAGCGGGCCCGTCACCTTTTCACATAGACACGCACTTGACCTGTTTGCTCTCTCTCAGAAGTTTCTCGCTAGCCCAGGTCTCCTGGGCAAGGCTAAGGGAGCCTGTGCCCAACAGGTGAAGTGACTCTTTTCTCACCTTGGGCTATTGACATTCGTCTCTTTTCTTATCTGGATCCAGGGCACCTACCCCTTTCATAGCTGGTTTCTCTGGCATCCCAAATGCCTGAAGCTGCTAGTATTACCCTAATGTGATTGGGACCTAAAGGCATGCTTTAGGATGGGAATGGTTCTCTGGCCCAACAGAGAGAAGTTGATGCCTAGAACAAGTTTCTCTAGAAAGCTGCAGGCCCAGGACTTGAAGGCCAGAGGCCCTTCTGCCTTAGTTCCAGTTCTTCTAAGGCCCTTGTCAAGAAGACGCTAATAAGTCCTCCTGTGAGCCTCCTGAAAATGACCTCGGCATTCACAGAACTGCTTTCCCCCACAGGGAAGGAGTGCGACCTCAACAGGCAGTGTGGCGTAATAAATCCAGAGACCAAAAAGATCTGCACACGCCTGTTGACCTGCAAGGTAACCTTCACCCCCTGGGAGAAGAACTGAGATGTTCTCAAATATCCATCTCAGGAGAGAGGGGTGGGATGGACTCAGACCAGGGAACAGTAGAGGAGGCTTTTCCCAGTGGACGCAAAGTGGGGGATAGCAAGCTGGGGTGGCTTTTATGCCCTTGCTGCCCAAAGAAGGTTCTGACCCCATAGGAAAGTGAAACACAGACACATAAAACACACCTACAAACACTCCTATCCGCTCTCTCTTCACTTGTTCAGTCCAGAGTACACTGCTACCCTTTACCCATTCTCAGCTCACCCATGGACCCCAACCCCTCCACCTTGCTGTGTTGCAGATCCACTCAGTGCACCAGCGCCGGGAGGTCCAGGGTCGGGCCAAAGACTTTGATGTGCTGGTGGCAGAGTTGAAGGCCAACTCCCGTAAAGGAGAGTCTCCCAAGGAGAAGAGCCCAGCGCGCAGGGAACCTGCTCTGGAGCACCCATTTCAGGATCCCCCTTCCTCAGTCCAGGTTGTGGCAGCAGCAGCTGCTCCCAGTAGCACCTTCTCTGCTCGTGCCAAGCAGAGCTACCCATACTGTGTACTGCCCAGGTACGTCCAGGGTCCAGCCCTACCTACCTAGGGATACTTGGCCCCTAAGCAGGCAGGAACCCTTGAAGGCAGCCCCAGGGGGTGTCCTGGAAGATTCTGTTCACTTGGACCTGTGTGGGGGGGGATACCCGGGGTCCCTGATAGTGGTTTGAAAGCAGGTGAATCTCCTGTTCTTAACTAAGGAAACCACAATTCCCCAGCCTCTCCGAAGTGTGCCAGATCCAACACCTGGGATACGAACATTTTCCCAGCTGCTTTCACCGGGCCAAAGGCTTGTAATTGGGTAGCCGAAAGGGTCAGGGCACTGGGTGAGGCAGTCCTGCTGTGTAATCATTCGTTGGCCCTTCATGTGCAGAGGCTGCGCTGGAGCCCGGGGAGAGCCTGCCCTGCTGAAGGAGACAAACACGCATCTCTGCCTGTAGCACCAGGGGCACACCCGAAACACAGGCTCAGCTCACAGACAGGCTCCCAGGAATGAATATGTGATGCAAGAAGGGGGGTTGAGAGAGTGACTGGGCTGACCAGAGCTGGGTGCAGAAGATTTTCTGGAGGAGGCGAATCTGGAGCAGATTTTCCCCCTGAGGAGGCAGGGCCCGGGAAATGAAGGGGCTGGGGAGAGAATCCCTTGGGAGCTGTGACCCCTGGTCTTTTCTGTCTCTTACGCTATGCTCTGTTGTTCCCTCTCTTCCTTTCCCCCTTCTCCTTCCTCTGAATGCCCAGCAGGGCATCTGCCCTGGGTTTTTTTTTAACTCAGTGGGTTCAGGGGCACCCCCACCCTGACCCCACTCCAGTCATATCCCCCTCACATCCCCTTTGACCCTACCAGGTCCCGGGCCTCCTCTGAAAGTGAGTTGGATGATGAAGGCCCCTGTGGTGGTGATGGGGACCCAGGCCTGTTCCCCTTTCCCCTGCCCCGGTGTGGAGCCCAGGCCTCCAGCGAGGAGAGTGAGGAGGAGGGGACATCTGAGGACCTCCACCTCGCCCCAGACTGCCATTATGCAACTCGGCCCCCACGGCCACAGGCGGTAAGAACCTGGGGAGGGTCTAGGTGGGGATGACCTAGCTCTCCTGGCCTACAGTATGGGGAGGAGGTCAGGTCCTGTGTGCAGATGCCCTCCTGCATGCCAGGCCAGAAAACCACATGCCTGCTTTCTGTCTGCAGTTCTGCACTTTTGGGAGCCGGCTGGTGAGCCCAGGATGCTATGTGTTTAGCCGCCGGCTGGACCGGTTCTGCTCGGCACTCAGCTCCATGCTGGAACGGCACCTCAGCTCACACATGTGGAAGTAAGTCTCTGGGGCCTAGAACTTCCCTTCCCAGGCCCTAGGCAGACACAGCCTGTAGAAACCCTGGCCCTGTACACATCCCCATAGGTGCCTTGACTTTTGCCAAGGAGACCCCCACCCCCACCCACCCATGCCATTGGAGAGTGGGAGGAGGAGACTTAGCATCCTAGAGCTGGGCTACAACTGAAGTGGTCTGGGGGTGATTTAGACTCTATCTAATATGCTTTCTAGATCTTTTGGGTAATAAGAGATAGGCTTGTCTAAACTGAAATTTAAAATGAGGTTCTTAATGTGTACTATTCATAGACTGTATGTGTACTATTCATAGACTGTATACTAATTTATGCTTAAGGTACGCTGGTGGTAAAGTGGTTAAAGCACTCAGCCACTAACCAGAAGACTGGCAATTTGAACCCAGTTGTTCTCTGGAAGAAAGATGTGACAGTCTGCTTCTGTAAAGACTAGGAGACCCCATGGGGCAGTTCTACTTTGTCATATAGGGTTGCTGTCATTAAGTGCCATGGAGTCAGTTCTGACTCAGCGACCCTGTATAGGGTTTCTGAGGAGCGGCTGGTGAGTTTAAACTGCCAGCCTTGCTGTTTAAACTGAACTTGATGTCCTGTGCAGTATCCAGCAGTGCCGCATCAGGTCTCCATAGGTTGTCATGAGTCAAAATTGATTCAATGGCAGTAGGTTTGTGGTTTGGGTTTAGTCTTTTTCCTAACCCTCAGTTCCATTAGCTCCCAGCAGATGGCAGTAATGCTGGGGATTTGCGGGGGCAGAGGGTCTGGTGCATGTTTGTTGGGTTGGCAGTCACACTGGGGTTCTCTTTTTGCTACAGAAAGATCCCACCTGCAGCTGAGCCTCTATCCCACCTTGTCAACTCCCCGCTTTCTGCTCCCCTGAGCCCATCCTCTATGGGCAGTTGCCCCCGCCTTCCAGGCTTACCTCCCAGGCCTGTCTGCGCATCCTCCACTCCCCCCACCAAGGACAGCCTTGTCCCCAGCTACCCTGCAGGCTCTCCCAGTGTGGCAGCTGCCTGTAGTCAGGCAGAGTGCATAGGTGGAAGCCAGGCCATCACCTCACCACTGCCTGCCAACACGCCATCCCCGTCCTTCAGCAAACTCCCACCTTCCAAGGCTAGCAAGTCGTCCAAAGGCAAGGATGGGGCTGAGGTGGAGGCATCGTCTCGAAAGCGGAAACTATCCCCTGGCCCCACCACTTTCAAACGGACCTGCATCCTGGAGCCTGCTGGAAAAGGCAAACCCTCTGGTTGCCGGGGCCTCTCTGCAAAGACTAAAACAGCCCTGGGCATGGGGCTTAATGGGACAGTGGGACCAAGGGTGAAGCGGGCAGGGTCCCTGGACTGTCCAAGTTCCCCTCATCAGCCTCCCCCGGTCAAGGCTTCTCAGCTGGAGAACAGGGGAGCAACTGGACACCCAGCCAAGGTTCTACCAACCAATTGCCTCTCTGAGGAGGAGGTAGCCAAGAAGCGGAAAAACCTGGCTACTTACTGCCGGCCGGTGAAGGCCAAGCACTGTCAGGCAGGTACCCCTGCTAACGTGGCCTGTTCTGTGCGCCGTAAGAAACCAGGCCCAGCCCTGGCCTTTGAGGAGAAGTGCTCCACACTGAAGGTACCAGCCCAGCTCCCTGAAGAGAATGGCCAAAGAAGGGTCAGAAAGGGTCAGGGTGGGGTGCACCATGTGTAACTGACAAAGTATGGAGTACATGTTTGTTCATGGATGGGAAGAAAGGGGAAGTTCCTAGGCCAACTTCTATATAGAGAGAGGTGGCTCAGCTCTTAGCAAAGTGACCGACCCCTGACTTTTGCCTAATGGGCCGCCTTTTCCTAACTGCAGCCCTCTTTCTGGGGCTAAGGAGATAATGCTGCCTGTTTCCACTCTAGGTTTAACCAAAGAGCCACTTCCTCCTGGAGTGGCTGTGGTCCTCATACTAGGAACTAGAGCTACCTCTGTGCTCTGAAGGAGAAGCAGTTGAGCTTCATGGGATGGCTGGGTCAATGGGGTTGAGTTTTGGCCCCTGAGTTGTGACCTAATATGAACAGTAGGTTGGATGAACCAGTCTTGGTCATTGGTTCTACCTCTGACCATCAGGGTAAGGAAGGGTAGGGACACAATTCAAGGACTTGGATATACATCGGTGCCTGACTTATACATGAGCTCACTTCAAGTGCCCAGCAAGCTCTCCAGGGCATTTGGTAAAGCCTGCTGCCAGGTTTATTTGATGGGGGCCCTAATGTAGCATGCCATGGACTACCTATATGATTTCAGCCAGGAGTGGGAAGAGGGGATGCTCTCTTGGTTCAGGCATGGGCCAGGTGCGTACCAGCTCCTTTGGCACTTACATGAGAGTAAATTGGACAGTTGCTCAGGAATCAAGTGTGTGTGTGCATGTTGATGTGTACTTGGCTTTCCTGCCAGGGTGGCATTCATTGTCACCATTACCCAGGGTTACCAAGCCAGCAGGAAGAAATCAAAGCCTTAGCTCTGGTGGTCTATATAGGTTACTGGGTACAAGAACTGTTTGACCCCACCTGATCCTGTCTCTTATCTCTTGTCTTCCTGCAGTCAAAAGCCCATTAACGAGAAAGTGCCTGCCCACTGCGATGGAGCCCCCAGCACCTCCTTCTCTCCGGATCCGGGCCTCGGGCTGCTGCCGCTTTTTATAACTTTATATTATTTTTTTTAAGAAAACAAAACAAAACAAAAAAACACTTTAAAATACCTCAAGACTGTCTCCCTGTTCTGTTGCTGCTAAGAAAATATAAAAACAGAATCATAGAAAAAGACGAAAAATGTTAACAAAATGAATGTTCTTACTGTACCCAGCCCCAGCCTGGAAAGTTGAAATGATAGGCTCAGACTCCACTGCCCGGTCACCTGCCTGAAAAAAAATCTCTTGAGCTCATTTTTTGTTTTTTTTTCTTTCCCTGTTTTGTCACTTGAAACCATGTAGAAATGGCTTGGATTTTTATCCTGGGTGGTTGTTGTTAAGTGCTGTTGAGTCAGTTCCGACTCATAGTGACTCTGTATGGTTTTCCGAGGAGTGGCTGGTGAGCTTGAACCACGGACCTTGTGGTTTAAACAAACCATGCAGTCCAGCGCATTAACCCATAGCGCTACACCAAGACTTCTATCATGGGTTGGGGGATAGGTTTTCTCCAGATGGGGTGGTGAGTGTGGCTGTGAGAAGCAAGGCTTCCCAGAACCCTGCCACCCTCTAACCCTCTGCCCCATTCTTTCTGGGGTAGACACTGACCATTCTGACTCCAGAGAAGATGTGTCCCACTGAGAAGGGAAACTTGATATGGTAGGGGAACCATACCTCCGACTCCACATTTTACTTGGGGGTCTGTCTGTAGGAGTCCGCTTCTGGTCCCTTTCTGCTCCATCTGAATTATTGCCTTGGTTTCTTCAATCTGTGCTTCCTGCCAGCAGCCCCATTTTCTTAACTGCTTAAGGAATTTGATCAAGTTGCTCCATGCTCTCAGGATCATGTTTTTCTGTGGGACACCATGTTTTGCTTTCTCCCTGACCCTTGGATTTGCCCATAAGGGTGAGGTAGGCCTCCTTGGGCTGAACCACACTTTTTTTTGGAGACAGGGATGGAAAAGGTATAGTTTATAGAACTCTTAGCATAGAGGGGCAGGAGTGTGGGAAGCCCTAGGTACCTTAGGATTACCTTGCTCCCCTGGGTGGGAAGCTGGCATGGAGGGAACAAAGGACCAAGAGTGCCCTAATTCTTCCCTTTGCCTTAACTGAGGACAACTATGCAGATAGAAACTCTTGTACCTCACTCTTTCTGGTCCACAGACCCTAATTCACCAGGTCCAAGGCACTACTTTCTGGCCGAGTACTATCCTTTTGTCTTGCTATTAGGAAGGGAGGAATCTTGCTCCATTAACTAGACAGGAGAAGGAATAACAGGAGAGAAAAAGACCAGAATGGCAGTAGAGAAATGGCAGCCAGGGAAACCTAATGTCCTTAGGTGCCATTGAGTAGATTCAGACTCAGCGACCCTGTTTAGGGTTTTTTGGAGGTTGTAAATCTGCAGGAGGAGAAAGCTTATCTTTCGCTTGTGACTGGTGGGTTCAAACCACCAACCTTGTGGTTCACAGTCCAGTGCTTATCCTATAGAGCCACTCAGCTCCCACAAGAAACCCAATGCTTACTAAAAACTTAAAGCATGTCGGTTTCACTCTCTTGGTTCAGTGTACCAAGGCTGTAATTTGGGGTTTCAGTGAAATCAGTTACCATAAATGTAATTTCCACAGGCCTGCTTGAAACACCGGCCCTTGCAGGCATATAGATACAAGCAAACAATTTAAAGAAACAAGGTGGGCCTGGAGCTGTCAGCTCACTTCTGCCCCCGGGGCTTCCTTGGGATCAGGCCTCTTTCCTAGGCCGACGTACTTCTCCCCCCAGCCCCCAGAGGCGCTGTGGGCGAAGCCGCCACTCTGCCCGCGGCGTCCCTGGGGAGGAGCCTCTCTGCAGTCGCGGCCGCCTCCGCAATAGCAAACCCGGAAGACGCGCTCTGGCAGCTGGGAGTGTGCGGCCATCCAGACAAGGCCATGCAGCCCCTGGAGGTAGGTCTAGTTCCTGCTCCAACGAGGGAGCCGGGACTGACCTGCTGGCTGCGGAAAGGCAGTGGGATCTTGGCGCACCTGGTGGCTTTGGGCTTCACCGTCTTTCTGACTGTGCTGTCCCGGCCAGGAACCAGTGAGTGTGCGAGGTGGGGCCACAGCAGGGGGCGGAGCCGAGATGCGGAGGGGCAATGCTTGAGAACGGGGACCACCGAGCAGTAGAGGGGCGACGGTATAGGGCTTCTAAGGGCTGGGTGGGGCAGGGGCAGGGGCCGCCACAGGAGGATGGAGCCTGGAGTGCTGGGGGCGGGGAACAGACAATTGACTAAAACTGAACTGACTAGTTCACCATAAGTAGGGCCCCTGATGAAGGACTGGGGTAACAGCTGAAATGTGCCACATGGGCAGCCCGGGCCAGGCTGATGCATATTTGCGGTGCGACTCTGGTTTGCTACCCCATGTGGACCATGGCTTTGCCCTCAGTTCCAGATTAGGGTTAGGGGATGGTTCACTCACCTTTTCACTGTGGCCAGATTCTTTGGACGGGAACATGAGTGTCCAGCCGTCAGCCTGTTCTCTTTGATTCTCAGGTCTTTTCTCGTGGCACCCTGTATTCATGGCCTTGGCGGTGAGTTTGGACTTTTTTCCGCCACTAATTTCTTTGGATATCCCTAGCCTCATCCCTAGGAGAGCATTCAGCCCTCAAAAGATTTATCTTTCCTAAGACCCAGGATGTGGGGGAAACCACAAGGACTCACTCTTTCTCTGCAGTCAGTGGGATTGGGAAAACTGGAGGGATGTGCCATTGATAAAGTGCTAAGTGGTTTGAAGGGAGATGGGCCTCGGAAGTTCTTTCTTTCTCCACTGGGGCCTGAAAGAAAGAAGGGGAAGTTATGTAGCCTTCCCCCACTCTCTCAAAATTGAGAAAGGAGGTTTAACATTTGTTACTGCCACTGGTCCAGAAATAGGAATCATTGTCCAAGGAGGTTGAGAGTGGTGGTGGCAGCCAGAATGATGAGACAGTCTATTCAAATGTTGATTCCCATTGTTCCTAGAACTGCTAGCCTGTGAAACAGGAGGTTCTTTAGAAATCCCACCCTTCTTCCTTGTTTATTTGTAAGAAAGCACTTCCTTTTCTTAGGCTTCCACATTGGCCCAGAGGCTCACTGGTCTTCTCCTTTGTTCACAGTTCTGCCTCTGCATGGCTGAGGCCATCCTCCTCTTCTCTCCTGAGCACTCCCTGTTCTTCTTCTGCTCCCGAAAGGCTCGGATCCGGCTCCATTGGGTGGGGCAGACCCTGACCATCATCTCTGCCACCCTGGGCCTGGGCTTCATCATCTCTAGCAGGACGCGAAGTGAACTGCCCCATCTGGTGTCCTGGCACAGCTGGGTAGGAATTCTGACACTGCTGGCCACTGGCGGCCAGGCACTGTGTGGGCTGTGCCTCCTTTGTCCCCGGGCAGCCAGGGTCTCCAGGGTGGCTCGCCTCAAGCTCTACCATATGACCTGTGGATTGGTGGTCTATCTGATGGCAACAGTAACGGTGCTTTTGGGTATGTACTCAGTGTGGTTCCAAGCCCAGATCAAAGGTACAGCCTGGTACCTGTGCCTGGCACTGCCACTCTACCCAGCCCTGGTGATCATGCACCAAATCTCCAGCTCTTACTTGCCAAAGAAGAAAATGGAAATGTGAGTTCTTCTGAACTCAGACTCAAAGTGGGACACTTGCCTTGGACTTCCTTGGTTCATTTGATGACCTTCAAGGGACCCACTTCAGAAGTGGTAGGGTTTTTGCACTTCTTGGCTGGGCCAGGTGCTGCTGAAACCCAGGCTACTATTGCAGGAGTGAAGATACAGTGAGCTGAAGTGGGGAAATGGAGAGCCAGTGGAAGGTAATGGGGAGTCGGAGCCTGAAGCCTCCACTATGACAGAAGACTGAAGTATTGGGGTGGGAGGTGATGGTGGTAGAGGTCATTTCTTGCTTTTGTACCTAAAGAGTTGGGTTCCTATAAATTATGAATGGCAGTTTTTGAGATTTGGGTCACTTTTGAAAAGGCAGTATGGTGTAGCAGAGAACACACATGACAGAATCTGATATCGTTAGGCTCAGCTTCCAAAGTCTGCTATTGATTTTGCAAACTGGATTTAATTATTAGATCATAAATGGAGCCTGTTATAGGTTGTAATCCTTCGAGGCTCTGTTGTGTGGCCCTTATTAGACAAGTCACATATCTTACTTAGCACTTCAATTTCCTCATCTGTGAAATGAATGTTTCTAAACAATGTATCTGTCCCTTTCATCTCTGACTTTCAGTGTCTGTCAAGTTGATGGTACAGAGCACCCTCCCAGTTCTGGACTATGGACAAGACCACTTGGCAGACTCAGGATGTGATTCTTATATTCATTCTCCCCTTGCCCACCCAGAGGGACAGTCCTGCCCTGGTAGGCTTTCAGGCATTGGTTGATTTGGTACCTGAGTCAGGACACAAAGGGCAGGCATTATGGAGAAAAGGGGCCCAAATGAGGGTCTCCCGGACTCCAAGACAGTAAAGGCACTAATGTCACTTTAAAGTTTGTGGAGTAGAAGGGCATTGGTGTAGCCAAATCTCTAGCCCCTGACTACACTGATGGAAAGCAGATGAGCCCAGCTAAGAACTTTCTTCAGCCATCACACAGAGGTTCCGATAGGATCTGGGTTTGAGAGCAGTCGGACCTGGGTGTGCGTCTCCTGACAGCCATTCTCAGGGACCAATAGTCTTGGACATCTCATGCCCTGTTCTTCGAGGATTCAGATTCTTACCATACAGCTTCATGAAGTTATTTTGAAGATTTTAGAACAAAATAAATACCAAGGAAGTGGGGCAGGGCTTTTTTAATCCAGGGAAAACAAAGTACTCCTGGGTCCACTTCTCCCCTTATAATTTATGCTTTCCTCATTTGTAGACTCTGGCTAGCTTTTTGGCCCAGGAAGGAACTGAGTTTGGTGCCAGCTGGCAGATGAGGGTTGGGCCCTCTTCCCTGCAGAGACCCTTCCTTGTTCCATACTGAAAGTAGCTCCCCAGACTGCCCTGGGTGGTGAGGGCTGGATGCCAGACTGGTTAACTGTGGTCTGGCTCATTTGGGAAGATGGGACCTCCATTGATCATGGCAAACTGAAGGCAACTGAGCCAGGAAGGCTGCTGTTGAGGCAGGTAGAGACAGTTCA